CTTTACTTGATGCTCTAATATCATGAGGAGGTTTATTTATAGCCTTGTTATGTCCTGGAATATTCGCAGCGGTAGAGAAATATAAATTTTAATGTCTTAGATTTGTAAGATGATCCAACACGAATACAGATAAAAGTGAGGGTGTAGTATTCATAAGGGACACCAAGATTTTTACGTAGAAACCCTGAAAAGGGAAAAAACCATGGGGTCTGGCTTAGTGTGAATGAATCCACTATTATTTGCAGTCGAGTACAAATGAGGCCCTTTCTTGAGGAAAGGCCTTGGTTTTATGTAATAAATATACATCATATAAAATGCATTACATGAAGGGACTTGAAAGAATCACTATTGACGTGTTTGTTTGGTCGACAGGACCATAGTCGGCGAGTGATAGTAGTCGGAAAGACTGTTTTCGGGTGAGTTCGACGTTAGATAGAAGTCCGACAAAAGTTTGGGGATGGGAAAATGTCCAGCGACGGGTGGAAGTTTGATGATGGACGAAAGTTCTACGTTGGGTAGAATTCAAATGAAAGTCTGACGATGGAAGAAGTCTGGCGACTGGTAGATTTTCAATGATGGACGGAAGTTTGGCGTCGGGTAGAAGTTCGACAAAAGTCTGATGATGGGAAGAAGTCTGGCGATAGGAAGAAGTCGGATTTTGGGTAGAAATTTGGTAATGGGCAGATGTTTAACGTCGGTCGGTGGCCGAGAGGTGGTCAAAGAGGAGCTTGGTGGAAAGAGAACTCTTCCTTCTCTTCTTCTTGGGCCTCTTCCCCTCAATAAAAAATAAGGGGTCTATTTATAATTTTTTGAGAGTGCAAGGCCAATACATAGAAGGAAGATCAAGGGTAAATTGTGAGTGGTTTGAATGGGCAGATGATGTTGAATCCCTTGATCATGGTGCGTTTATTGGACATTTGAATATCTTAATGATATCAAAATTTGACAATCTTGGGCTTGTTGGATTTGCCTCGTCGAGCCGCTTGATTTGACTATAAGCATGTCACATTCGAAAACTGTTTGATAATCCAAATTATGCTTTAAACCTTCCCGATGCGCTTTAGGTTATTGATTTGGACACATTTGAGCTCGGATAGGGTCGAAATTGGTGACTTTGGGTTCATATTTTTGAGACGTTCGGTTCGACTATAAGTTTGTTGAAATCAAAGTTCAGATAATTTTCTATTTAATTTTTGAAGTTTCCAACTTGATTTTTCTTCAAGATTCGTGCCCGATCAAGATAATTTTTTAATGATATATCAATCCTTTAAAGACTCCTAATAACCTAATAATTTTAATGACAAACCAAGGCTTCATTTGGGACATCTTCCTTGATGCTTTTTAAAGAAGCTTTCAAGTTTAAAGTTTTTTTAATTAAATTTTTTTACTAAAAAACTATTTTAAAAAAAAGCAATAAGAAACGTGAGCCAAACGAAGCCTAATACTCATTAATCCCCAATAATGGCTATTATTATCACTTAATCAAAAGGTTCAATTATAATTGTGATTAATTGTTTACTATTATATGTGATTAAAATATAGTTAAGATGTGAAAAAAAAAGAATTATTTAAGGTTTTATCTAGTTTAGTTTTGGCTATAAAGTTTCTAGTTTTCAAACCATTTTTTTTTTAGTATCGATGGTTTGTTTTGATAATGTAGATCTTTTGATAGAATGTTCATACCACATGGAGCTTATTTGATCTCAAAATTAACTTTTCAAGTCAAATTAGTTGTTGATTTGATTTTCCTAATATTCTCTAATATTCATGCTTTGTATTTCAACATGGTTTGAACCTTTATATGGGCCAAGGTTAGAATGTTGTTTGAACTTTGGTTTGAAATCATTGTTTGAACGAATGTTTGAACAAACTTGTCCCAAAATATCTTTGTTCAAACATCTCTTCACATATCGGTCTCATGATAGTTTCCACAGCAAAATGTATGATGCAGATCTTACGATGCCTTTTCCAACAAGCTTTGTTCGCGTATCAATCCCATCATCGAATCCTGACACCGATGAGCTGTTGTTTTCACACATCATCAAAACCCTTCAATTGTCGCTCCCAACAAATCAGAATTGAACCAGGTTCAAATTTGGTTCAAACCAATGTTCCAACCAAAATTGAATCATGTTCGAAATCAAACTAGATCAACCCTAAATCCAATTTCGGATAATTTTTTATTGAGCACCCTATGAATACGAGATGTTAATTTTCAGTAGGCATAACATTATCTAAAATGAAATCATAGGCATATTTCTCCAGAACAAAAATAAATAATTGATATATATATTTCTTCAATTATATGTACTATAAAAATTATTGAGATGCCGTTGATATCTTATGGGATTATTAAAGAGGATGAGAAGTTTAAGTTAAGAGAATTTCATCGGTGCTAATATTATTGAAGATAAGCTCTTCTAAGGGGCCGTATAATTGTATTAAAAAATAGCTTATAATAAAATGGACTATATGATAAAGGAATGATTGGCTTAAGGTAAAATAAACTTAATATAAGCCCAAAAAATAATGATGGTTGGTGGTCTGCAGCTGCATCGACGCACAATGACAACAATATTGGCGGGCAAGGATACTGATGTTGGCGAGCAAGGACAATGATGATGGCGGCCTCTAGTAGGCAGTGATGGTTGCGTCGGGTGGCAGTGGAGGCATCGTCAGATGATGATGATGACGTCATGAGTCGATCGATGTTAACTAATGGGTGGTAACAACTTGTATGTGAGGACGACAAACATCGACCAATGACTGGCAATGGCTGGCGGCTACCAGCAGATGATGTTGTCGCCATATTTTAAAATCGATCAAATATGATAATTTACAAATATGCCAGAATTAAACTATATAATAAATTTCAAATTCTTCAAAATCTCTTTTAAATAATTAAACACCAATAATTTCAAAACAAATATTTTACGCCATTTTTACTATCAAATAAATAGGCCCTCATAAACTTGGATGAATGGTTATCATTATACAAAGCACTAAATTTTAGAGCTGGAAAACAATCATTTTTTCTTTTAAAAAAATATTAAAATAATTATTGGTGTTCATCCGTCTCCAAAGTTCCTGCCATGAGGGGCTTATGAACTTAACATCGCGGTCGGAAGTTAGGGATCGGGGGACTCCATGTAACCTCACGATTTCCCGAAAGAATAATTTGGCAATATTGAGAGCATCGAAAGTTTTCTTACACGGCACGAAGTGCGCCATCTTGGAAAAACGATCGACTACCACCATGATAGAGTCATTACCGCGACGTGTGCGTGGTAAACCCAGAATGAAATCCACACTGAGATCCTCCCAAATTGAGTCAGGTACTGGTAATGGCATGTAAAGGCCGGTGTTCTGACCCCCTCCCTTATAATTCTGACAAATCGAGCATCATTCCAAAAAATGAGCTACGTCACGACGTAGATGAGGCCAAAAGAACTTGGCCTGGAGCTGTCCAACAGTGCTGTCACGCCCCACGTGTGCTCCCAAGCTATCGCCATGCACTTCCTTGATGATTTGTTGTCTCCAAGACGAATTAGGAACACACATAAGGTTTCCTTTAAATAAGAATCCATGGCGGATGGAATAATATGTAATCGGTTCAGATCTTAGACATTTTTGCCAAATTACCCCAAAGTTTACATCTTCCGGGTACAGATCCTGCAATGATTCTAATCCCAAGAACTCGGTCTGTAGCTGTGTGACCAAAGCCGCCTGCCGGCTCAAGGCATCTGCCACTCGATTTTGCGCACCACTTTTATGCTTCAACACAAAGGTAAATTTTTGCATGAACATTAACCATATAGCATGCATCCGATTAATGTCTTTCTGTGTGTTGATGTATTGGAGAGCTTTGTGATCTCTACACAGCACAAAATCTTGTTGAAGTGGATATGGCTACCACTGTTTCAAGGCCCGTACAACTGCATATAATTCTTGCTGATATACTGTCCATTTTTGCCTGGTGGTACTTAATTTTTCGCTAAAAAATTAAATAGGTTTATTATCCTGTGACAACACAGCCCCAATGCCAACTGCATATGCATCTGTCTCAACAGAAAATAGTTTGTTGAAATCTGGCAAGGCCAGTACGGGAGCGGTAGTAAGAGCCGACTTAATCTGCTCAAAACTGGTTTGCTATTCGTGACCCCAAAAGAATGTTTTAGACTTGAGAATATCTATGAGTGGTGCAGTAATAATACTAAAACCTTTTATAAATCTTCTATAAAAATTTGCTAAGCCATGAAAACTTCTGATTTCTGTGAGGGTCTTCGGAGTTGGCCAATCACTTATAGCCTTGATCTTGCGGGGGTCGGCATTCATGCCTTCTGCGGTTATAATGAAGCCCAAGAAAGATACTGATGATGCAGCAAATTCACACTTTGTCATATTCAGGAAAAGCTTATTATTCCTCAGATTTTCTAGAACACCTTCTAGGTGAATCAAATGCTTTTCCAATGTGTTGCTATAGATCAAAATATCATCAAAATATGCAACACAACAATGATTGAGGAAAGGTCTCAATACCTCATTCATTAATCTCATGAAGGTGGAGGGGGCGTTACAAAGGCCGAACGGCATTACTCTCCACTCATACAACCCTTCCCGCGTTTTAAACGTAGTCTTCCACTCATCGCCAGGCCGGATTCTAATTTGATGATATCCACTCCGCAAGTCAAGTTTCGAAAATATTTTTGATCCGGCCAATTTCTCCATCATTTCTTCCATCCGCGGCATTGGAAATCTAAATTTCACTGTAATTTTATTGATTGCCCTGCTGTCGACGCACATCCTCCACGTGCCGTCCTTCTTCGGAACCAGCAGTGTCGGCACCGCACATGGACTCAAACTGTGTTGAATCAGTTGTTTATCCAGCAGCTCATCGACAATCTGTTGCAATATTGCATTTTCGTTCGGACCCAGCCGGTAGTGTGGTTGATTCGGTAATGAAGCACCCGGTACCAGATCAATTTGATGTTGTATTTCTCTCAAGGTGGCAGCTCGGTTGGTATTTTCTCAGTGCATATATCTGAAAATCTTTTCAGCAATTCAGCTATAGCAGCCGGCATCTCCTTCCCAACAGTAATCGGAGAGATCTCCTTTACTATCAAAGCCATCAGGCTAGTAGATTCTCTCCATGCATTCAACAATGCATTGGCAAATACAGCAAACAGGGCATTACCTTTTTTTGGAGATTCTATTGATGAACTGTAGTTGTGCGGAACCAATCGCAGTCGCCGACCCTTCCAATCAAACGAGTATGTGTTGGCTCTACAGTCATAGGTAGCTCCCACATCGTACTGCCACGGTCTCCCCAAAATAATGTGACACACGTCCATGTCTAGGACATCACATAAAACTTCACTAACATAGTGTTTCCCGATAGAGAATGTCACTTTACATAGCTCCGTTACTGTCATTTCAACGCCCTTCTTGACCCAGCTAATTTTGTACGGGTTGGAGTTCTTCGTGGTTTTTAGCTTCAGAGCCTGTACCATGGATCACGACACTACGTTCTCCGTGCAGCCACTGTCCATCAGTAGATCACACACCTTTCCCCCGATGGTGCACTTAGTCTTAAATAATGCATTTCTTTGGGAGGTGCTGGGTTGTTTTGGAGCTAATAACAACTTTTCCAGAACACAGATTAGTGGTTCCCCGATGTCAGCCTCCACGTCCTCTGGAGTTGGTTCTGAGTCCGAATTATGTTCCTCGAGATCATCTTCTCCTTCAGCATCCAGCAACTGTAATTGGGGTCTCGTGGGACATTCATTGGATTTATGCCCCGATTGGAAGCACCGAAAACATTTAATACTCGATGGTTTGGCATAAGGATTCTCCTTGGCAATAGCTCTGTCCCGGCCTGTTGATCGGTTTTCAGTAGCACGTCCCCCAGAATTCGGTCCTCCCATTGCTCCCTTTCCTGGACCTTGTTGTTTGCCGAGTGGAGAGATTGATGAACTCGCATTTCTGTGAATATCAGCTGACTGGTCTACTATAGGCGAAGTTCTTTTAAATTGTTAGCCTCTATTATGTCGCACAATCTGCATTTCAATCTTCAGGGCGTAGTTGACAGCTTGCGACAAAGACCAAACGGAATTCAATTCCAACTTATCTTGGATCGCCTCCTTGAGCCCGCCAATGTAACGTGCGACAAGTTGATTGGCTGTTTCGTTCAAATTATTTCTAGCACTTAGACGGTAAAATTCTTTAGTGTAATCATTGACCGAACGATTACCTTGGCGGCAATGCTGATATTGCTGATACAACATCTGCTCATAGTCGGTCGGAAGGTAGTGACCGCGTAATAATTGCTTCATCCTCCTCCAATCCCGCACCGGGCCGCGACCTTCTCTTTGCCGTGACTGTAAAATCTGCTGCCTCCACGCACTAGCTCCTGCCTTAAGCCGACAGGCTACATACTTCACCTGTTTAGTTGGTTCAATCTCCATATACTCGAAGAAGGTTTCAACCGAACGCTCCCAATCTAGGTAATCTTCAATGTGTAATTTTCCATCAAAATACGGAATGTCTAATTTGACTCGAAACTCGTTGTTCGGCCGGTTTACCTCCCTCGGTCGCCTCCGCCAATGATTAAACACTTCTTCTTCTTCCGAATCAGAGTGGTCTGAATTGCGGATTTCCCCGGCTTCAAAATCTGAGTCAGATGATTCCACCAACTGATTTTCCCGTGGACGAAGACGCTCTGGTCCCGCTCCCCGCCTTACTACCGGAGCATTCCGGTTGGGAACAATCCGATCTAAACGGATGGTAATTTCCCTTAGCTCTCGGCGTATTTCTTCATGGATCCGATGTACATCATTCTCCAGCTCTTCCGTGCGACGCCCCAGCACATCGTGCGCCGCCCACAGAGCCTCTAGGCTGTTGTCACCGTCGGGAGCCACCTGCCTGCTGCTTTCGGCCATCTAGCTCTAATACCAATACTGATGTAGGATCGTTGAAGAGGCACAAGCAAACAGAAGATCAATGGAACAGTAAGAACTTGCAAGCTTTGCACAGTTCACTAGTATGAGTATATTTCAGTCAAAAACTAAAACTTCCTTATAACATCCTTCTACTAAAGAGTAAAGCAAAAGCTAAAAACGGTAAAGCAAATAAAAAGGAGGCAAATAAAAAGCTATGGCTAAAAACAGCAACGTAAGTGGTAAGTGCTTCTCCTCTGACTAACTAAAGCAGCTCAGATAAGATGTTCCGCAGTCCACTGGAACCCGCCTCTATAATGCTCCGCATCAATTAAAAAATAGCTTATAATAAAGTGGACTATATGATAAAGCAATGATTGGCTTAAAGTAAAATAAACCTAATATAAGCCCAAAAATAATGATGGTTGGTGGTCTACAGCTGCATCGACGCGCAAGGACAACAACGGTGGCGACCTCTAGTAGGCAGTAATGATTGTGTCGGGTGACAGTGGCGGCATCGTCATATGATGATGATGACGTCAGGAGTCGATCGATGGTAACTAATGGGTGGTAGCAACTTGTAGGTGAGAACGATAAACACCGACCAATGACTCGCAATGGCCGGCGGCTACCAACAGGTGATGTTGTCGCTTAAAATCAATCAAATATGATAATTTACAAATATACCAGAATTAAACTATATAATAAAGTTCAAATTCTTTAAAAAAATTCTCTATATCTCTTTTAAATAAGTAAACACCAATAATTTCAAAACAAATATTTTACGCCATTTTTACTATCAAATAAATAAAATAGCCCCTCATAAACTTGGATGAATGGTTCTCATTATACAAAGCACTAAATTTTAGAGCTGGAAAACAATCATTTTTTCTTTTAAAAAAATATTAAAATAATCATGTAAAATCCATTGAGAATCTTTATTTCCAATAATTTTTTTGCAAATTTATGCTCTCTAACGGAGAAAAAAAAATCCCCCAATGGGCGGTGGCTTATCCAACAATAGGCCATCGAATTTTTGTCAGTAATGGCCGGTGGATAAAAATCCCTCATTTTTTCAGAAAAAAAAATTTCAACAAAAATTTAAAATAATTTTTTTTTTTTAAATGCATCAAGTAGCCTTAGGGTTTAATTATAAAAAATATTTAACATGTCTGTGACATACTGATTTTATTTTCTAGAAGAAAAAAAGAAATAATTTCCTAATTTAAAAACAATTTTTTTTAACTTTTTTCCTACAAATTACAAATATTTTATAAGTTTTGAAATTAATTTTTTCCCTTAAACTCAATTAATATTGTTAGCAAAGTTGACAATATTGAGACTCATTATATCATGCCTTCTAGTTGGTAGATTCAAATTTGATGAGACAATGGATTATTGAATCAGGTCAGAGAGCCTTCGGAATAAATACAAATTAATATGTTTAAAATCTTATATAAATGTGTTTCTACCATGAAACGATAATTGTATTATTTTTCCTCCTTAAACTTAGGGTAGTGAGTGCAAGATAAAGTTTGTAGGGGGTTGTTAAAGCTCGAGTTTAATATGCAATGATATGGACTACCTGATACACACCTCACTCTCATTAGAGATGGTGTGATCGTCGATGAAGAAGCTATTCTTACCTTTTATTACATCTAGAAATTTGAATTTTAATCACAAATGCAAACTATGGTATGTAAGGTTCTAAAAAAGGTTATACATGTTGAAAATAACCTATCACAACTTACAAGCTTCTCAATAACAATCATAAGCACTCATTAAGTTGTTTGAGCTAAATGATGCAAAATACACACATATAGGTGATTGAAGTCAAAACTATAGCAAGTTCAACTTCAATGTCTTGTTTATGCTCTATTGTTTTCCTCTAATTAAGAATAGTCTAGAGTTTCTAATGTAGAGTTGAAGTGGATGAGGAAGATAGAGTGTCTATAAGCTTCTCATCTAAATTCTTCTTAAGCATGTGATAAGGTGTGTGTTCAAGGATTCCAACACCTTTTGCATGTGTTCAAATGAAGTCAGGGATATGCCAACATGCATGGGGAACAATATAGAAGCTTAGGTTAGGTTTTGTGAGTTTTAATCTTTGGTTTGAATGGGTTGATGCTAACCTTTTATTGATACCTAATGATTTGAATAAAATGGGCCCTTGTCTCAATTGGCTGCCTAGGTTTTGAGTAAACTAATGCTTCGTTTGAAACAGCTTTTTTGTTGCTTTCTAAAGCAACTTTCTAGTAAAAAAAAATTCTTAAGTTGATTTTTTTTACTAGAAAGCTTTTTTAGAAAGAAGTAAAAAAAGCTGCCCTAAATAAAATGCTAGGTGAATTTAGGGATCTTTAGGTTTGGAGGTTTTAGCTCAATGGGTTATTTTGACTAATTTAGGCCAAAGTTGACCTAAGTTTTAACCAAGGGTCATAACTAGGTCTTTAGGGCTAGGTGCACATATGAATGAGTTATGAAGGTTTTGGGGAAACTTAGGTCTACATGGGTTTCTTAAGTAACCTATTCTTAGGGCATTAGGCTAGGCTGATTATTAAGTTGACTAAGTGACATAATTTAGCAAAGTATAACCCATTGGGCATGGATTGGCCCTTTAGGTCCTAAACAATGTCTGAGCAAAGCATAGGAACTCTAGAGTCTCCTTGAATCAATCTTAATTTAGTTCAATGAGGAAATCTAGGTTGGAGTACCCACAAGCTAAATTTGAATTCTATATTAACTAGGAGTTGAACCCTTATGTTAAGGTGAGCCTTCAATTCTAAGTTAAGCATGGTCTATTTATTCAACCTAGTTACTCTCATGTTAGATATAGATTGTGTAGGTCAATTAGGAATAAATTAACTCTAGTGAAAAGACATTATTTTAGAGTCTATCCTAATAGTGAACTTGATCAAATTATTCCCCAAGTTTTTGTGTGGGTCATAAGGGAGAAATAAGAAGAGGGCTAACCTTATCACAATTAGATTTAGCCATATAATGACAATGTAAATCATACTATCAAAACAAAGGTAGAACAAGCCTATAAAAGAAAAGATTATATTATATGTACTTAACATACATAGAGATAAACATATCAAATTGTATGAAATTGGATAGACTAATTAAACCTCGCAAGTGATCAAACAAGATATCTACAGTCTTTCCTTCTCTTTTTACTTCATATGTTAGATCATGGAACTAAATAATTTAATTTATTAATATTTTAATGCTTATATAACCCTACGAATCAATGATTATTCTATAACAATATTAAGGGTGGTTAGATGTGAGTATATTAAGAAAAAAATCAGATATTGACTTGTTTTCTTATCATGCGTGTAATTAGCTAGAGCCTTCTTTTAAATCTCACCCCTTATTTTTCACAATAAATCTAGTATAATTAATTAATTAATTAATTCCACAAATAAGCTCTCTCTCTCTCTCTCTCTCTCTCTCTCTCTCTCTCCTTTTATGATCATACATTCTATCTTTACTTAAAAGGGGAATGGAATCTATTTCCATGCAAGGAAGAGTAAGAAGTAAGAAGAAGAATGAAATAGAAACAAAAGAATAAA